GTGTTCGACTCGATGGTGAGTCAAGGCGATCGTCTTTGAGTCGATCGTGTTCGACTCGAACGTGAGTCCAGGCGATCGTGTTCGACTCGATCGTGTTCGACTCGATGGAGGTCGACTCGATGGAGGTCGACTCGATGAAGTCGAACACGATCGAGTTCGACTCGAACGTGGGGGGCCAGCGAGACAGTTCGACTCGATCAGGCTGGCAAACAGAACACGGGAACAGGATGGCGTATCCAATAGCAGGCAAACAAAACACGAGAGCGGCGTACCTAAAAGTCACATCAAACAAGGCAGACGAATCGAAAGTCGGCATCGACAATTTCATATCAAACCCATTGCTTCCATAACACACACAGTCTCAGTTCACACTCTTGCTGGATAGCCCACATTTCTCACACTGTTCATCTTTCGCTGAACAGGGAGCGGCGTCACCAACAAGGCACACCAATCAAGGCACATCATTTGGAAGCCTACATCCATTATCAATTCGAGGCATTCAATTGGCAAGGCAGGCAACCGACACCCGCAACGAGCGACTAACAATACGCTCCACCGATTACTAACCACACACACACACACACACATAAGGAGAGAGAAAGAGAGAGAGAGGTTTAACCGGCATCGAGAAGCGCACATCGAACTCAATACTCGCACGCATACACAGTCTCAATTGTCACTTTTGCTGAACAACTGAATAGATGACATGTCCTACACTGTTCGTCTCCCATGACCTCCCCCACGACCTCGCCTATCCTTTCGCCCCGAAACCGTACACTGCGTTCAGGGATGTACCGTACGTTAGGAGCTGTGGACTACACAGGGTTGCAGTGGTGGAGAAGCAAGACACGTATCGCGCACGGACGAAACCACATGATCTGGCTAAAGTGTGACCGATGGCATCTCTAATGACCATCACGTACTCCTCGACCTCCTCCCAATGCCGGGGTGTGTCAACCTGCCCAGCCAGTTTCACGTCAAACTTAATGTTCCTCCAACCATGCGGTAACATAATCGAGTCCCCGTCAACGATGAGCTCGTTCCTGAACACGTAAATACTTGCTTCCGCTGAAGTCTTACTTCTATTTCTTACCGAAACACAAAGAACCCTAGCGAAAGAGAAACGACAGAGATCAACATGTACGCAGAAGTACGACACACTCCCCGTCAAGTTGTCCTCGAAAGGAAGGGGATATTTCTCTAGAAACTGGTTCTGTTTCGCGCAGTCCAGCAACTCCATCTTCATCGATGGTCCCCACAAGCGCGGCGAACACGACACGTTATGCGCAGTCAACGACAAAGACAGGTCTCGGGTACGAAATGCCGCAGACAACACCGGCGTGTGTTTCGTCACGAGGATGTGGTCGAGGAAGATGAATGTCCCCCATTCTTGGCTGGATGCTAGTCGATAATCAGATGCCCAAGGGCAGTCTTTCATTGTGTTCTCCCAGTCTAATTCGGACCATGCATCGAAGGGCCTTTCAAGCCACGACATAATGCTCATCCAAGGGTCTGTGTCGAAGTCTTCTCTACGGGCCCCAAGTATAGTTGTCTCCCTCCTTGAACCTCGTATGTATCTCGCGCTAGCATTCAAAGGGAACGAGTAATCAAAGTGGTGAGCCATCGCAAATATCCTACACACACAAACGATTGACGACCACAACATGGAGCCATTGCTAAGGTCGAACTCGCTCACACACCGAGGAGCCATCGCAGTTACACACAACAACCAGGCATTGCGAATTTCCAAAACAGAAGGAGAAAACACACAGAACGAAAAATTCCATCGGCGGCTATCCATCGTCCTGTTCGTCGCGACAAGGTCGATGACGAACAATCGACAAAGCTCAGACAGATGGCCAGAGGCCTTGGCGCTTGCCGACGGTCGAGTTCGTAGAGCTCGTCTCGACGACGGCCGGCTGGCCATTGTCGAGTCGAAGTCGACAGCCGGCCAGCTCCAACGCCTCTGCCCTTTGTCGAGTCGGACTCGACAATGTCCAGCCCGTCGCCGTTGTGTCGAACTCGACGGTGGGACAGTAGGGCGTCGTCGAGTCGAAGTCGACAGTGGCCAGCAGGGGGCCAACGAGTCCAACACGACGGCCGGCAATCGCCAAAGCCACGGGCCATTGTCAAGTCCGACTCGACAATGGGGCGTCGTCGAGTCGAACACGACGGTCGGCAAGCGCCAAAGCCTCCGGCCACTGTCAAGTCCGACTCGACGATGAACCCAGGCAATCGAGTCGAACTCGACGGTGGACCAGCGCCAAGTCGTATGGCCATTGTCGAGTCGAACTCGACAACGGACCGGGGTCATCGTCGAGTCGGACGACAACGGCACGGGCCTTTGTCGACTTCGACTCGACATTGGCCATACGACTTGGCGCTGGTCCACCGTCAAGTTCGACTCGATGGCCTCTGGTCGTCGTCGGTTCGGACGTGACAATGTCAACAGGAAACCGACGACGGCCTGGGGTCATCGTCGAGTCGGACTCAACAGTGGCCGGAGGCTTTGGCGTTTGCCGGCCGTCGTGTTCGACTCGACGACGCCGTACTGGCCACTGTCGACTTCGTCTCGACGACACCCTTCTGGCCGACCGTCGAGTTCGACTCAATGGCGGCGGGCTGGCCGTTGTCGAGTCCGACTCGACGATGACCCCAGGCCATTGTCGATTTCATCTCGACAATAACCCCAATCCTTTGTCGAGTCTGACTCGATAATGACCACAGGCCGTTGTCGAGTCCGACACGACGATGACCCCGGGCCATTGTCGAGTTCGATTCGACAATGACCACAGGCCATTGTCGAGTCCGACTCGACGATGACCCGAGGCCATTGTCGAGTTGGACTCGGCGATGACCCCGGGCCATTGTCGAGTTCGATTCGACAATGACCACAGGCGATTGTCGAGTCCGACTCGACGATGACCCGAGGCCATTGTCGAGTTCGACTCGACGATGACCCCGGCCCATTGTCGTGTCCGACTTGACGATGACCCCGGGCCATTGTCGAGTTCGACTCGACAATGCCCCCGTCGAGTTCGACTCGACGGCGGCCTCTGCATGGGCGGAGATGCCACGTGGCAGCACGTGGTTGCTTCACGGCGGTTTACCGTTCTCCCAGGCCTCCGCTGCTGCCTTCGATGCGGATGCTCGGAACTTCGCTCCGATGCTGCGCGAACCTCCGATGTGCGAGCGAGATCTCCGTTGCGTTCTGCGCGAGCCTTCGATGTGCGAGTCCTCGCTCCGCCTGCTTCGGACGCTTCGCGAACCTCCGCAACGCTCCGTTGCTCTCGACGAACTTGCAGAAATGGGAAATGGTGGGCCCACACCACTATTTATACTTTCTGTGGAAGGCCTGCGAGGGAATGCGGCCTGCGGGGTGTGGGTTCGGGACCCGGTGCCTCGGGGGGATTAGTGCCGCGGGACCGACGTTTCGAATCCCGGGAAAGTCTGGGCCGTCGATCCGTCGGCTGAGGGCCAGGATCGGGTGCGGGGAAAACCGGTGGCGCGGTGAGAATCGGTGCCCAGAGGGCGACGATTTGAATCCCGGGAAAGTCTGGGCCGTCGATCCGTCATCTGAGGGCCAGGATCGGGGAGGGGAGAACTAGTGCCGCGGTGGGAGTCGATGCCAAGGGGGGCGACGTTTCGGCTGCCGGTGCCGTCCACGACTGTTAAAACGGGCTCCGCAGAAGGATCCAAGGGTCTTTTCCCTTGCGTCGCTCCCCCAAACAAAAGGACGGTGCAGTGTCACCTTCGCGTTGACGCGAAAGACAACTGCGTTGCTCTGCCACGGCAGCTGCATTGCTGCTCCGATTCATGCCTTCTTTGACCCAGGTGAGTTCGGAATCCTCGCTGCATGGCCGTCACGATAGTCGAGGACCTTGAGTACGGGCCCCGTTTGACGGGCCCGCGTGTTCGGGATGCTGGCGAGATCCCTCCATCATGCCGTCATTGACAGTGTGTACCGGGTTCAATGTGCATGCGAATGGATGGGTGGTTAGCCCACGAGGCAGAAGGAGGGCTGAATGGAGTGGGTATTCCCGCAGGGGGCACCACCATCCGCGGGTTGTTGTGGGAGGTCTGAGTGTAAGCATGCCCGTTGGGGCCCGCGAGCCGGCAGACTATGCCCGGGGCACTATGGCAAGGCCCGCAGCGGTACCACGACATGCTGCGGGCCGCGTGACATAGGTGCATGCTACTGCTACCATGATCTGCATCGGGGCCCGCGTCACCTGGAACCGAGCTGTGGGCCTGCAGTAGGCCCGCGCCCCAGCTACAGGACGGCCTATGCGTGGGCTACCCGTTGGGGACCCGAGAGGAGGGCGGATCGGGGAGGAGGGAGTGAACCCGGCGCGGTTGTGCGCCAGGTACACTCAAAAGGCGGGCGGCTATCGGTGGGAAACTGCTGCACAGAAGGGACTAAGCCGCCACGAGAGCTTTCCTTGACTAGCAGGGGCGAACAGAGTAGGGCCGAGAGGCGCTTGTGCGAACTGACCGGTGCCGGGTCACCTACACAGCATCGAGTGAGCAAGGCTGCACAGATAACAGCCGGTGAGGGATAGCCGAGCAGCGTGCGCTAAGGTTGTGGGAGTAAAACGCGGAGCATACCGGGGACGGGATACAGTGGGTAGGTCACTCCGTCTGGTACTGTCGAGCCGCGGAGGGAGAAACAAAGTGCGGAGGTAGCGGGCTAGCGGACGGGGATGAACCTGGCCGGGGGTCCCGCAAGGTGCATTCGGAACAAGAACGGGGTGACGAGGATGAAGGCCTGCAACAGGGCGGATGCGGACGCAGCAGAGCGATAGGCAGCCGGGCGGCACCGGGAGGCAGCAAGCGTAGGCAGGCAGTGAGCGGCGGGCGGCGACATAGTGAGGAGGCGAGCCAGCGGGCGCAGCAGAAGGGGAGGAGAAGCCGAAAGAACCCGGGCAACTTTCTGCGCCGGGTGCATTTCGAACGGGAGATGGTGAAAAACGCGTGGGGCGGAGTGGGAGACGTGAAGCTTGCTTGTTTGTGGTCAGTTTTGGTCGGGGGAAGGGGCGATCCCGGGGTTTTGGCCCCGGGCGAGTAAGATGGTGAAGTCAGTTTTGGTGTTAGATTAGTAGATCAGGAGGTTAGTGGAGAAACCACTGCGCGGAGTGATGGCGGGACGAAGGAGCAAGACGAACGGGAAAGTGCAAAACTCACCCGATTCTTGATGAAATCGGCTGAGAGGAGATGCGTTTTGGAAGGCTTAGGGGGCTGCGAATCCAATGGCGGACTCGGATTTGAAGGTTAGTAGATAGATATGGAGTTAGTATGAAAAAGTAGTGCGCGGAGGCTTCCGTGAAGATGGAGATGGTGGGAATCCAGTACATGGGAGTCGAAGTGCTTTAACTTGCTCGATTCCTGTCAGAATCGAGTAAACTAAAAACATGGGTTGGGATTATGGGTCAGGGCGAATCTGACTATGAAGTCAGTTGTAGAAGAAGATTAGTAGGATGGGAGTTAGCTCAGATTTGTACCGCGCGGAGCTATGGCGGGGAAACGAGCGGGAGTGAGGATTGGTCGAATTCGTGATCGTTTTCAGTAATCTGAGATGTTAAATAGGGGGTTTGAAAGTGAAGGATTTCGATTCTATAGTTAGTTTGGGGGTAGAGCAGTAAAAAGAGGTTGAGAAGAAGAAGAGACTGCGCGTTGGAGGGAAAGTTGAAAAGGGGGATGAATCTGATCGTGTTTACGGCCAGATTCGTTCAATTTTTGTATATTCCGTGAAATAAGTAGCGTGAAGCCAGCCACGGTGTTGGAAACTTACCTGTTGCCCGGTGCGGTGCTTACCTCGTTGCCGGCTAGCTCCTTGCGTGCATGGCTGGTCGCAACGCATCTACCTCGACATTAGCGAGACGTTCACTCGGTCCTTCTCGCCTGGCCGTTGGCCAGCTCTCCGCGTGCATGACAGGTGGTCAAAAAAGGGGGGGGGGTGGCTGTGATCACGAAGGCAGATAGCCGGCTGAGTGGGGAGTGGAAGCGCAGTCCGCAGTTGAAGTGTTATCGGATCAAGGGGGGACGGTGCTGTTATCACTGTTGCACACGGACTTCATACTGAGGCTGTGCCGTTCCTGCAAAGTGCTGAGTTCGTTATCACTGTGGCACCACGGGCTCGCTGCGTTACTGCCCATACGCACTGTTGCATGAGTGGTGAACCGTCCAAACCTTGCTGCGCTTCGGATAGAGCGTAGAAGGTAGGCTGTATCGGAGCGCGGATCTTCCAGGCTGTGCTATTACCGCTCAGGTGAAGGTGGGGTGCTACCTGTTACTTTGACGAAACTGTGATTCTCTACTGCATCAAGTGCGGTTCAGAGTACAAGGTGAACTACTGTTCATGCAGACAACAAGACACAACTTGGGGAGATTGGTGTTTTGGAGCTGCACAACTATGTTTACTTGAGCATTGAACAAACTTCGGTTCAAGGAAAAGGGGGCATCGTTGTCATGGACCAGACGGTCATCAGAGAGATAGCATAAGGAAGGTGGTTGGACTGCAGAAGAAGCTGCTGCCACAGCCTGAAGAAGGGTGGCGAAAAGGGGGTCAATACTGTGACTTACAGGTCTGTAAGAGAGGGTTGTTGCGACAATTTGAAAGGTCGACTGGGAGTTAGATTCAACAGTTTGGCTTCAGAGTTTGGTTGAGCTGTTGTGGCCTGGCCACCATTGCGGGGCCCTCAGGCGCGTCAAGGTAGCAAGACCCAGTCACGCGAGTCTGAGAGCACCTCTCGTATATCTGAGCGACTCAAACTTTCTGCCGCTACCTTTCTAACTCTCAGTCTAGTCCTTGGCTACGAGAGGAAAGCGGCAGGCGGGATTGCAACCCGTAGGTCCGCATCAAGACTCTGTGGGGAGTCCACCCACCGATTGCGGGAGCTCTGCCGTAACCTAGGCGAGGTTCTGGAGGCAGGGAACCTTCAGGTAAATCATCTTTATCTGTATAACCCACCACTACCCATGTTTGCCTATCTCCCTGTAATATGACTGTTGTATGCGTGAGATTGTCCCTATGGTTATTGCTTGCTTTCATGATTCAATCAGATTAAAAGGAAAGAATGTGTGAGAGTAAAGCATAAGTTTCAGTTTATTTTGATAGAAAGCAGACAAGGGATGAACCGGGGGAAGGTGGGAGGAAGGCAGACTGCTTGTGATTGACAGAGTCAACCAAAGCCTGAGCATTGACTCATGGCTATGTTTATTTGGCTGTTTTCTGAAGGACCAGGCATTGTTTCTACTGTGAATGGCCTGGTCGCTGTGTTTATTTGATTGTTTTATGAGGAACCAGACATTGTTTCTACTGTGAATGGCCTGAAG